GATATCTTGAGACTATATAAATATCCCGTTCTTCATCATACTCCCTAGTGTTAGCATTCATTGAGAGTTTTTAACTCCAGCATTCCTCTTATATTTATTAGTTGGCATTCTACTATAAGGAAGAGCTTTTCTTGTTCTCTCTTCTTTATTTATGATATTTATGTATATTAGCATGGACTCAAGGGTTTTATTTCATTCATTGGGTTTCTTTTTGGGGTGATGAAAATGTTCTAAAGTTAGATTGTGTGAGAGTTGCACAGCTGTGAATATACAGAAAACCATTGAATTGTATACTTTAAATAGGTGAATTATAATGTTATGTGAATTATATTTCAGTAAAGCTCTTAAAATATCAACAGCAACCATTTTGATGTGATGGTCAGGAGAAACTTCATGATCAATTACTATATTTTCCCTCAACCCATTCAATCCCTGCCCCCCAAGTCTTTGCATAGCTCAGCTCCCATGTGTTTACACTTTCATGGTACTTTTTTGAGTTAACGGACATTGTAATACCTGTCTGGAGCCAGTTGGTTCATGTAACCAAAGTTTCAGGTCATATGACTGTTTTCCTTTCAGTCATTAATAGTTTGTCTTACTCCCTACCGCACTTGGTTGACGTCAGTCCCCATCTCAGGAGGACACTGTGAGTCATCATTGCATACTTCAGGAGATGAACAGGAAGATTCATGCTAGCTGCTTTGGAAAAGGGCCAAGATGTCCAAAGATGCTGCTTTTGCTTGTTTCCTGGCTGTTGTGCTCCCCGGCTTGGCACTGTGCAGCTATGTGGAATGTTAGGCAAAGTTGTGAATGAAGACACATTTATTCTGGTCCCCATCTTGGCTGTCCTAGGATTTGGCTGTATTTTTTACCAATTTACAGAGGCAGAATATTAAAACCACTATTCCAGAAACTCAGACCTTCCCTCTCTTCTACCACACTTCTGCCTGAACTATGAGAATACACATACCAAAGCAGATGTCTTTGCATATAAAGTCTACCAGATCAGTTACCCACTTCCTTTTGTCAGTATTGTGTATATTCCTTCTCTCGTCTACAGAATGAGGTACGAGTTGGTCATCTAATAACTTGGAAGTGCCATGTGTTTAGGGAATATCTTACATTTGTATACAACTAAACAGCTGAGATGGGACGTTACAACCAGATCCTGGATGTACAAGGACCTAGATACTAATGCAAATAAACGTGACTTTTTTTTTTGTTTTGGCAGCACCCTTACATCTATCGGGTTACCTTTGCCACAGCTAACGAATCCTCTGCATTGCTAATTAGGATGTTTAATGAAAAAGGAACTTTGAAGGACCTGATCTACAAGGTACTTGTGGTGCAAGTTCATGGACATAAAAAAGTTCTCAAGTCCCTTTAGAACCTGTTATGGATCCTTGATCCCTAACGTTTCAGAAGCGAGACCGTGAGGATTTTATTTGGAATTTATTTTGATTTTAGTAGTAAAAACTACCCAGTTTGATTAAAGATCATTCCTTTCCCTACATGAGGGAAGGTTGAACATTTAATGATTATGTCCATTGCATTGTAGGCTGCTCTCTTAGGTCAGTTTTAAAATTGTGTCTTCCATTTAACAAAGCAATACTGAACTATCTCAAAGTTNCCTCTCCAGCCCAACCTTCTTTCTCTCAGCTCTCTGAATACTGGCAGTAAAACCTAAACCCTCTGGGCAGGAGACCGGAAGATTCTTTTTCTGGGATCTTCCCAGCCTAAGAGGAAAGAGCTAAAGACTCTTTCTCACACTAAAGACTGAGGTCACTGGTTCTCCCAATGAAAAAGCTGAGTGAGATCATGTGCCGCAATGAAGCCCACAGCAGACAAGCCCCAGACACTTACCCGGAGTTTCCAGTCAGCTCTTGGGGCTCTACTCTGAAGCATGAGCAGACAACCCAGGATCACCACATTTCTAAGAAACACTGAACATGAAAGGTAAAGACGAAAACAAACAGAAAAAAAAAAAAAAAAGAACCTTTAGGAAGTAGAAATATACAGAAAGAAGAACATTTCAGGCACCTCAGAAAAGTTATCTTTTATAATCTCGGAGAGATAAGAAATTGCATCACATTCAGGATGTTATTAAGAAAAAAAAGAAAAAAGGAAAAAGTACTTAGAAAAGAAAAAAGATAGTAGAAATGAAAACTCTTTAGAAGGGCTGAAAGATAAAGGAAATACCCAGAAAACATTTTCAGTAAAAATAAAAAAGTTTAACAAAGGTGTAAAATAGGAGAGAAAAGATAAGAATAGAGGATCAGTCCAGAAAGTCCAATATTGGAAAATAGGAGTTCCAGAAAGAGAAAGCAAAAGGCATGTAGAGAAAGAAGTAATGACCTAATACAAGAAAATACCAAAGAATGTAAGGATGTTATTAGTTTCTAGATTGAAAAGGCTAAATCCTCAGCATAGAGGATGAACGTAGACCCACACAAAGGCCATGGCATTCACAAACTGAGATCAAAGAGAAGATCCTAAAAGCTTCTAGGGAGAGAAAAAAACAACAGCCCAGAATAAAAAATCTACTGCTTGAACCTTTAACAACAGCACTGGAAACTAGAAAACAATGAGGTAGTACTTAAAAATTCTGAAGGAAAAATATTTCCAACTTAGAATTCCACATCAAGACTCGCTATCAATCAAGTGTGAAGGTAGAATAAAGACATTTACACATGCAAGCTTTCAAAAACTTTGTCAGCACCCTAAAAGAGGGGGTAAGGGAGATAAAGTTTGGTGGAGGATATCTAAGAAAAAGGCAGGAATGGATATAGATAGGGCGTTCAGCAGAAGAAAGGCAAAAGCATGTCCAACATGATGGTGCAGGAGCTCCCAGGATGCCAGCTTTGGAGCAGCAGCAGAGACCATCAGTCCTGCTTAAAGCGGGTCGGTGGGTTCTGGAAGATACTCTTCAAGAAGATGAAACTAATGCATCTGTCTCTGAATATGTTGAGAAAGGGCTTACACGGAGAGATTGGAGTTCAATAGAAAGCTAAAAATATAGACTGCCAGCTGACAAAGTAAGCATGATAAGCATGACTCTTTGGCTCATTTGTAAATATCGATTACCAGATGTAAACATGAATACTGTACTAAATAAAATAACTTTATTGGAAGGATTAGAAATAGGGTATATGTGGGGTGAGGTCAGGATTGTAAAAGAGAACTTAATCCTCATCTTCCATGATGGGAAATTTATAGATAATGCCTAAAAATGAAAAATCAAGATATAACAACATAAACATTCCCCAATGCCAAAAGATTGGATGAAAGAATTGAATATGGCTGTCTGTGGAGAGTGGGGAATGGGTTTGTCACCTAGTGGCAGGGGAATGTTATGGGACTGTGAAAAATAATAAAAGAATTGTTTGACTTTTGAAATTATGTTCACGTATAAGTTTGATAAAAATAAAAACACATTAAAAATTATATTTTATAGTTGCTATGTTAAATGCAGTATTTTTTGAACTCTTAAGATGCATAGTTTTTTCACATTTTTATAGTATCACTGAAATTATTAGGATGCATCTTAAAATCTATGGTGTCCTAACCTTAATGAAATATGATGGCTCAGGATTCTGATATTGAACCTTATTTGGGAATGACATGAATATAACAATCTTTTTTTTTTTTAATTAAAGATTTCAGGTCTAAGTCTACCTCTTCCTCCCAAAAAATTGATTGGAAACATGGATCGTGAATTCATAGCTGAGAGGCAGAAAGGTCTTCAGAACTATCTCAACGTTATCACCACAAATCATATCTTGTCTAATTGTGAGCTGGTGAAGAAGTTTTTAGATCCAAACAACTATTCTGCAAACTACACTGGTAAGCAAAGGGACCTGTGCACTGTGGTCACAGGGCTAAAGAGGCTCTGCTTTGCTGGAGATAAAATATGTGGGAGGAACCATTTCCAAACAGGAAGATATGTATGTTTGTTATAGGCCATTATTCACTTACTAATCCTTACCTGGTTGTAATTTACTGCAGATGTCTAAAAAGAAAATAGTGACTTCTAGCATGGCTGTAATGTCTGCACAGAAAAATATGGAAGAGAACTTTTTGTGTCTGTGTACTTACAGTCTTGTCTTTATTATCTTCCCTGACGGAACAGAGAGTAATTAATCCTTGATAATCTATATAGTAGTCTCAAATTGATTTGTATTTGGCTCCATGTTTGTATTTACAGTATATATAGTGTGTCTGGTTTTTCTCAGAATTACTTTAAACACAGCAGTGATTCACAAGAGTCCTCTCTGTGTCTTCCCAGTTGTTGGCTGAGACCCACTCAGTGCAAAGCATAAGGAGGTTGTGGTTGTCTTCCAAACCTTCCCTAGATGGGGGCGGCAGCCAGGGGAATGGGAAAGGGTTCTGATTGCACAGAAAGCTGGCACTTATAACCCAAGCCGGGGTCAGCAGAATGGGTGATGAAATACTGAATTCATTCTGGTGTGGTCTTGAAGAGACCAGTGGAAACTATCGTAGGACTGAACCAATGACTAGACTTCACATGATTTGTTAAAGCTAAACAATGCTTAGGGTCTTTCTAAGTGGAACTCGGGGTATTATTAAGAAGNTTATGGATCCTTGATCCCTAACGTTTCAGAAGCGAGACCGTGAGGATTTTATTTGGAATTTATTTTGATTTTAGTAGTAAAAACTACCCAGTTTGATTAAAGATCATTCCTTTCCCTACATGAGGGAAGGTTGAACATTTAATTATTATGTCCATTGCATTGTAGGCTGCTCTCTTAGGTCAGTTTTAAAATTGTGTCTTCCATTTAACAAAGCAATACTGAACTATCTCAAAGTTGGAAAAAATTTTCTTTTAAATAACAGTGAAACATTCTAACAGTATACAAGACTTTGGGGTTGGCTAAAACCAAGACCAGGCTCACTGGACTAGAGAAGGGACGAAACCCATGTTAGCCTCTTTCTATCAGCCATACAGGCTATTGTATTTTAAAAACCCACATCCTGTGGTCTGGTGCCCCTAGCCTCTGTAGAGTCCTGCCTGTTGGGGAGCCTATGTGCAGATGTCACCCCTCTGCTGCTCTCTTATGTGCTCTTTGTTCTTTTCCAAAGTCAAAACCAAAAGACCCGTTCCTAAAGAAGTACTGCAACCCTAAGAAGATTCAAGGCCTTGAACTCCAGCAAATAAAAACATATGGGCGGCAAATATTAGAGGTAAGAGGCATTGAATTTTTGTTTAAGTTGTATTGGAATCTCACCCACTATTCCAGTGTTCTTTGGGGAAAATTCTTGGGCAATATCCGAAGTAGCTTAAGTTGCCTGACGGTTTATAAACGGAAGGCGTTGTGTTTCATCCCCAAATGCAGATATTTAAGACTAAGACCGAATAGAGCTACAAAATTCCAAAAAGCTTCACTATTGGAATTTAGTGTCTGCTTTTTAAGAATGTATCGGTGTGGGTACCAACTTTTGTGTTATTTTTGGTTGATATTTATCTTTAGGCCAAAATTCTTGATTTTTGTTATATACTTAACCATATAGCTCCCTTACAGAAGTGTAATTAGTATGAAAAGCCTTTCCCACATCACTCTCTAGAGCAGTATTCTTCAAGCTTCTTGGACTGTGCAAACCTATTAGTGAAAACAATTTAAGCATAACCTCCCTTATATTGTATATA